ATTGTACGTATATGTGGGATAATGTTTTTAGATATTTATTTAGTATATCATTTATTGTTTGCTATCATACGAGTTTGATATTTAGTTTGGTTTCAGAATTTCAGCGAGATAACTAAGAAATATATATATATATATATATATTTTTTTGATAACTCAGGAGTGATCCCAAAGGTTTTCTAGGCCAACGCTACTCGAACCCAGGTGGCGAGACTTACCTCCTTTTACCACTGGACCAAGGCGACTTGGTTTCTACTTCTAAGAGTTTTTTTCTTAACTACTGGATTTTCTTTTTAATTTTTTTTGAAACTTACAAAAAATTCCTAGAATATAAATCATAAAAATATAATCCATTTATTATTTAATTTTCTTAATAATTTTTCAAACTATTTAAATGTGATATATCCACTTATTATTTAATTTTAATGTTCATATATGTTTATATGTTTATAATCTAAAAATGCAGTTTAAGATTTGATAAAATAATTAATTAAGATTTGGTAATAATGTTGATATGCAAATTTCTATTAGTGATATAGATATGCAAATTTTGTAGATAACCTGTAACAACCCGCCTCGTGGGACCCCCTGCCACAATTTGGCAACTGTTGTGGCTGCAACGCATCGACCATAATCTCTCTCCTGCGGGCCCAAACTGGCATGCATCCCTCTGGCCCAACAGGTAGGTTATTGGTTCGCTTGGCATTTCTCGAACCCAAGCCCTCACCCTTTAACAACTTTCCCACATGACAAGCGGTTACCACAGGAGAGAGGTTAGGATCGATGCGCTGCAGCGCCAGCAGCTGCCGAGTTGTGGCGGGGGTCCCACGGGACGGGTTGTTACATAACCGGTGTTTAACAAATACTAGGTAATGTCCCGCGCATATGCGCGGGTTGTTGTATATTTATTTAATTATTTTAATTTATTTATTATTTATAAAAAATAGATTAAATAAATTTTAATGCTTATGACATTTTTACATGTTATTTATTTAAGTCATACAATAGAAGCATACATCCATATCTTTTGAATTTATTCGTTGATTAATTGTTCAATTAATCAATTTTCATAGTAATTTTCTTTAGTACTTTTAAGTATTTATTGATAAAACAATAATATTGTTAATGATAAAAATAGGAATGATATTGGGAGAATTTAAAAAATACCCTTTAAAAATACCACTTTTTAAATTTACCCCCTTTTCAAACTTTATCAAAACAACAACTAAAAATGTTGAAATTTATCCAAATATGTGTGTAAACTTATAAATATACACAAAATTACCTTTATTTGTGTATAAAATTTTATTTATT